GTGTTCCCATGTCATGTTGTGCTGTTCTGAGCCACCCAACAGAATCCTAAAGGACAGATAAGAACAAAGCATAAACTGCTGTTTGTCTTATAGAAGATTTTAATTTTTTTTTACCAAATTGGATGTTGTGTGTGCTTCCTGCTCCGTGCACTTTAGGTGATGTTAGTGTTCCCATGTCATGTTGTGCTGTTCTGAGCCACCCAACAGAATCCTAAAGGACAGATAAGAACAAAGCATAAACTGCTGTTTGTCTTATAGAAGATTTTAATTTTTTTTTTACCAAATTGGAGCCAATACCTCTTGAGATCAGATGAAATACAGTTCTTGACAGAAAATTTACGAAATGTGAAGGGAATGTTCCAGTATCTGAAAATACTTTGCATGTTTTTTACATATATTTTTGTAAGTTTTATGCTTTCATTAAACTAAGCTGAACATCATTGTAATAACTCTTAGGGTCTGTCCTTCTCCCTGTCCCCCTTTTTTTTGTACAAGCCACTTCTGTTGTGGAAGTCAAGTACTAGTTTGTACTTTGCTTGAATCTTCTAGGTACAGTGTAGCTTTTGTATATAATTATGTCACTCTCTGAATAACCAGTTGATTTTATTATAATTATCTTCAGTTGAAGATTAAATCTAATAAAATTTTGATTTTTTTTCCTATCCTGAATGATTCAGTTACTATAAGACTGAACATACAAAACATTTTGGAAATGTACATCTGTACATAATATGCACATTGTACAAAACTACTTCAAGAAAGTAATTTGTAATAAAATTTTGAAACTAATACTTCAAATATTGTTTTTTGGAAAAGCATTTTAAGCAGTTTTGTCAAGTCCCCAGAGTACCAGAGGTAACAGAACTACCTCTGAACTTGTTAACTGGCTTGTGTGTAGTATATCTGTTGATTTATAATACAAATGATGCCAAAAAGATGACATACTTCATGATTCTTCTTGCTGCCTATGTATATTCCCATAATTAGTTTTTAGCTGTTTTGCAAATGCAGAAGGGAAGGATTAAGTAGTCTTTTGAAGACAAAGGATACCTTGATCTAAAAAGAATTTGTATAGAAAGAAACGTGAAAAATTCTAATGTAGTTAAAATAGATGGGAACATTGAAATATCCTTATTTTAAGTCTTTTATGTGCCACTGGTTACTTGTGAAATACAGCCTTGACTGTGAAGCAAAGGTATTTGAGTTAACACTGATGTGGAGAATGAGTACTTGTCTATCACCCAAACTTTTAGAATAGTCTTGTGTTTTAGAGCAAGAGGAGATTTTGGGCAAAGGGGAATTATGGTCATGTAGTCTGCAATCTTATGTATTAGTCAGTTATATATGGGTCAAGCCCAGAAGTTTGGTTTTAGTCCTATATATTTTTGTAAAGGATTTGTATAATTAAATCCTTTACAAAAATATATATAAAGGATTATATATTTTATATATTATATAAAATGTGAAGTTTAATCAGTTATGGGTATAGAAGATTTATTAAGAATTTCAAGTAGTACTGAATGACTGCATAGGAAACAGGGAGGAATAAAAATGTTCTTTGTTATGTTGTGTTATGAGCAAGTTACTTAATTTGGCCCACATTTGTGTTTTCTACTGAATAGTACTATAAAGAGTTCTCTGCACTGCTTTATTCTAATTGCCCTGGCTGTAACCAGGAGAATGGGTTTCCTTACTGACAGATAACATTTGTATCTAAATTTCTTTTGAAAAGGAACTACCTTCTAAATATGTTGTGCATTTGCTTTTATCACCTTTATTTTGAAGCAATTCCTACTTCTGTTTCTTTCAATATCTTACAGTTAACTAGACAAAAGTGAGAATGTGTTAAATCCATCCAGCAAATAGTGGAAAACCAGCTGTTCTAGAATGCCTTTTGAAGTAAAGACAAGCCAGGATCTAAATAGATGTTGTGGTATTTATGAGTGACAAAAACTTACATATCTACAAGTTCAGAAGAGGAGTTTATTTCTGTTATTGTTAACAGTGGTAGTTTGCTGCCTTGATCTCATTGTCTCTTATGTTGTAATGTATTTTTAGATTGCATATTTTTTTATAATTTATTTCTGTGCCCCACTTCATGTGTGTCCCCAGTTCCCCCCCCCAAAAAAAAAAACCCAAAAAAACCCCCAAAAACCCAACAAAACAAACCTCTGGGACAAAAGACACTGCTTAAGTTATTGTATAATTAATCATATAGCAAGATCTGTAGCAAAACAGCCCAATATTTGCTTTTCTAAAAAAGTGTCTTAACTAAAACTGTCTGGATGAAAATTTTATTTGTGTTGCTTGTGAGCCTAGGGCTGAATTTTTAGGAGAGACTTTGGGCTAAAATCCTGAAGTGTAGTAGTGAACGGGATGAAGAAAAAACACTTTGCAAAAACAAATCAAGAATTTTCTTTGAACTTCTAATGAGAAAGTCTGAAACTGTCATCTCTTAGAATGGGGACTTGAAATTAGTTGTGACTTTGTGTAAACATGACTGAAGAAGGAGTTGAGTTTTTGTTGTATGAGATGGGTGTGGTTTTTTATACTTCATTAATCAGTACTCACTAAGGCCCAAAAACTAATTTACAAACTGAAAGCTGTACTTGCAAAAAAATAGAGCTATAATTTTGTGTAGTTTCCTCCTCTGAAGATTTTGTCAGCAGTGAATATACAGTACTCTTAGCTCCTGAATACAGGATAAACTTCTTCATAGTACCAGTAGAAAGGTTTAGGAGGTATCAGCTGTAGAATGGGGGAAAGTGTTTCCTAAAATTGCTTCTCTGTTGTTCCTGTGATGGTGTGGGTATGGGTAAGGATAGTAGACTTGCTTCTAGTCATCCTGAGGACTTTTAAGATGCAAACCTGTCACAGGTGTAACAGGTGATTATTTCAACTCTGAACCTAGGAGATGATAACTACTTAAGAAAATAAAACTTTTTAGGGGGCTTTTAAAACATACCACTAAGATTTGATTATATATAAATTGTTCATTAATTTATCACTGATAAATGTATTTATTTCAATATATTTAGGCAAAAAATTACATTAGCTATATTCACAGAGATATTGTATAGGCATACTTTAAGACTTTATGTTATATATCAAATAGTAAATGCAAAATGCCCTTATCCCCAGATTTTTTTCATATAGAAGTTCTGCACAGCAAGGATAGGTTGTGTTCCTGAGTTTACCAAAATACAGTTAAGAACCTGTGTGTGCTGGTCAGCAGCAGGCTCAGCAGGAGCCAGCAATGCACCCTGGCAGCCCAGAGGACAAACCCCTTCCTGGGTGCATCAAACTCAGCATCCCCAGCCGGTCACAGAGGGGACTGTCCTGCTGTGCAGCCTTGGTGCAGCCTCAGCTTGAGCTCTGTGTGCTGCTCTGGGCCCACAGCTGAAGAATGTGGGTAAAGGATGAGAAGGGGTCCAGAGGAGGGCAACAAAGGTGGTGAAAGGGGTGGAGGCGATCTCACAGCTCACTACAGCTTCTGAGGAGGGGACATGGAGAGGGAGATGCTGAGCTCTTCCCCCTGGTATTTGTCTACAGCTTCCTGAGGAGGCGACATGGAAAGGGAGATGCTGAGCTCTTCCCCCTGATATCTGGGGATAGGACATGTGGGAAAGGTTCAGAGCTGTAGCAGGGGAGGCTTTGACTGGACATCAGGATGCATTTCCTTACTGAGAGACTGGTCAAACACTGGAACAGGCTTCCTGCAGGAGGTTGATGCCCCAAGCCTGTCAGTGTGTAAGAGGCATTTGGGCTACATGGTCATTGTCGATTGGCCAAAACTCCTTCCCTGTGTCTGGGGTACTTAGATTCCCTTATTTCTCAACCTGAGAATATACTGCACTTGTAGTTCCCAGCATCTAAGATGATGATGAAAATACCAGGCTATAAGCAATTTGAAGGGAAGATGCATTGTTTTTTCTCCATTAAAACTTGATAGTAAAAAATATCAGAACACGAGATTTTAGAAAAGTGAAAAGATGAAGAATTTCTGAAACCTGAGCATTAGAATACTTAGTATCGAGAATGCTGACTTAAAATTCTAACGTATAGAATATTGCTTTTTTATTTTACAGTAAACAATTGTTTTCCTTATCCCAGATCTTGATTGCTAGTCCTGGGACCATTCTCTAGCCTGACCTGAGCGCTCTCTAGCTCTGTTCTGTTGGTTGTGTTGAACTAATTTTTTGCAGAACACCTGAAGCTACTGGGAAATTGCAACTCTTTGTACATTTTATATTGTTTCTACACCAGTTTGCTTAGTTGAGTACTTCAAATATAAACTTTGGCACCTTATTTCCTGCTGAATTTGCTGCAAGCAGCAGCTGATTCCCTGAGGCTGTCTAGCAGAATTGTGATCTGTGCCTGGGCATTTGTTAGAAGATCTGACTGACTTGCACAAGTTTTTACACCAGTGAGACATATACATTAGACCTTGCTGTATAGGAGTCTGGTTTTGCTAATGAAAAATTTAATAACTTTGCATTTACTAAGTAGTTTGATGCAAAAGGGGCAACAATGGGCCAGTCTTACGAGGACTGAGCTCTTAAAACGCTTAAGCACTAAAATATTTCAAAGGAAATTGCCTTACTGTAGCATTGTCAATATTCAATTCCAATTTTGTACTCTTCACAGTAATACTGATTGCATATCCGTTTAAGTATTTACCTTCACTCTGTTTGTTTCTACTTGTACCTTGAATAGCAAGACACTTTGCAGTAGCTTCATGTGAGGGAGAGGTGACTTTAAGCTATCTTTTATTATCAAGGACATGGTAACCCAAATGTCTCCTTTGAACAGACTAATTGTGACATAATGGTGCGAGTGATTATAAAGGCAAATGCCGAGTCTTGTGGCACACTGCTGATTAAGGGAGGGAAAATAACTTTTGACTTGTGATAGAGCATAACTATTTTGAGTTACAAATGTGTCTGGAATTTTGATATGTTTCAGTAGTTAATTCTGCATTCTTTGTTGTTGTTAGGAGCTGAAACTGCCGTTTACTTTTTTAAGTGGGCATATTCATGAGCTTCGGATTCATGTGCCATGGACGAAACTGGGATCAGAACCAGTTGTCATCACTATCAATACAATGGAATGCATCTTGAAGTTGAAGGATGGGGCTCAGGTAAGAAATGTCACGGATGCTTTTCCAACATTGTGAGGTTCATGAGAATCAGAGTTTCTGTAGGCCACTTTCTTGAGTCTTCCGAAGGATCTGGCATGTGAAGTTGTGATCCCTTTCATTTTCTGAGAGGCTCATGTTTTTCTTCTTGTCACAGCTAATATCTTCATTTATGCTTACTTTTAAACTCGTTATTAGCTGTAACTGTGTTCTTGCAGGTATGAAAGCAAGTTAATAGTGGTCTGTCAGATTTTTCTTATGATAAAGAAGAAATGGATTTCAAGAGCAATGCTGTGTGCTTCCAGCTTCTGTTTCCCAAGCAGCAGTGCTGGTTGTTGGATGTGGCACAGATCAGCATTGGACATTTTTCAAAAGTTGTGCTGCTGTTATTGAAGGAATGCTTTGAAGATCCTGGAGTCTAAATAATTTCTGCCTTTAGTAATTATATTGCTTGCTTGAGTGTCCTTGGAAGGACTTCTTGTATGTCAGGCTCTTCAGGGATTTTTTTTCTTTTGGTTGCTCAGAATAATTTGTGCATTAGGCTGTTTTCACAGGCCCAGGTAAGGTTTCCTCTGACATAATGGAGCTAAAATATGCCTCAGATTTTGTCAGATGTCTAACTTGGTTAACTAAAAAAGTACTTGGTTATGTTGAACTTGTGGGGTTTTTTTAATCCGCATGATGCTTTAATTCCAGAGAGGCTTACAAGTTTGTTTTGCTTGTTGGTTTTTTAAAAGCCTTGTTCACATTTTTATTTCAACAGAGCTCCATTTATATTAAGGATCGTGCAAACAAAAATTCCAGTTTGTGAAAAACTCAAGTATTTGGTGGGGTGCTTAACATTTAACATCAATAACTAGATACAAGGCAGCAAGAACACTGGAAAACACTTTCCTGTTTGATATTTTTTGATATATCCCTTTACAGTTACAGAACTAAGAGGTTTTTTTTTTTTCTGGAGTAGAAAGCTCTAGTCCTAGCCACCCACAGAGGACATGTTTGCATTCTGTAGTTACACTTAATCTGTGTGCATGTGCATATATACACACCACCAGCCAAATATTAAGTACTTCTCCAATGTTAGTAAGGTAGGCTTTTGAGACCAGATGTTCCATGAGATGTGTGTTTTTGGGAGCAGCAAATTGCAACTAATTATGAGTTGCAGAAAAAGATTTGTAGCCCATGACTTTGTGCAACCCAGAACTAATATTTGATAATGGACCTTGCAGATGGCTACTGCTGAAATGATCAGATTTCCTGCTTGCATGGTATTTGAAACTTAAATTTTGTGGTGCATACATCAAAAGGTCAAGTGTCATGAATGTAAAACACTCTCAAAACAAGTATTTGTTACAGATGTTTAAGATTCAGAGGCAAGAAAAGAGTTTTGAAAATTACAACTGACATTTGAACAAATTATTCATTGGCATGTATGCTCAGGAGAGTAAAATTTGAGTCTGTGCCATAGAAGGATTATCTTTGATGAACAAGAATGTAGATGAAAACACTTCTATGCTATTTTCTTAGGATATAGTTTAAAAAGTTGACAGGTTGAATTTCATTTTTTGAATTACTATTTGAAAGTGTTCAAAGTATGGCAGTGTACTTGGCTAAAACCAATTGTCATAAAAAATTTTGTAATCAGTGAATAAAAAATATGAATGAAATATTTCTATGGAAAATGGTAGTGAAATGAACTTTCAGCGAGTTTAGCTCCAGTTGGAACTGTTCTGCCAGGAACTTCATGTCAGTGAAGAGCATAATTGGCAAGAAAGCTTAGTTTAGTTCTCAAATTGATTGGCTTGACCCTGTATTTCCTTCCTCAGGTGAGACCTCTAATGAGCACAGGGATAATTTCACCTGAGTAAAAAATAAAGTTCTTGACCTCAACTTAGTGAGATGTGTTTTCTTTGGAAAGGTACTATTTCACAGAAATGTGAAAAACAATGTTTCTCTTGAAGATATATGAAGGTTAAAATACATGGCATTGTTTGAAGCTATTATCCAGTGGATCCTACAGATTGTGTAAAAAGGAACAGAGGGTTTTGCTCACATCTTTGAAGAGTATCAGTTCTCTGGGGTGCTTTTGTGATATGTTTTACTGTGATGCTGTGTCATTGTTCGTTCAGCTTCAGTATTAGTTTAATTAGGTTTTTTGTTGTTTGTGCTTATTGCAGCATCTCCTCAGCTATGTTTGAATTAGACAGTAATGGCTCACCTTCTAGTTGTATGCAAAAAATTTTTTTCTAAGCAGAACTGTTGTATAAGTGGTAAGTTCACTTAATGATGTACAAAATCCAGAATTCTGTAGAATTAGTGGTATTTACATTTTGAAGGTCTTCGCTTTTCCCCCTTTTCTTTTGTGCTTTGTTTCCTTTTTCTCCTTTTCTACATCTGGCACTACTACTTCTAAAGCCCAGGTGTTTATCTACAGTATCCACTGTGGATACTTTACAAGAAAATGAAACTGAAGTGCATCAGCTTGGCAGTGAGTAAAGGGCTGTTCTATTGAACATGCTTTGTTTGTGCACTTTTGGTTATAACTTTGGTCAGTGTCAGTACTTGAAATAGAATTTGGCTGTGAGGTGTTTCACATTGCTTTTTGATGTCTGTCAGCCTAATGCAACTATGCTTAGTGCTTTTTTTTTTCTCTCTTGATCTAATCTTCTGCAGCATTGAGTTTTAAGTATGAGCATTTATAATGTTCTCAAATATGTTGGTATGATGTTAAAATCTGTTCTTAAACACTTCAATGGGATTCTGAAGTTTGCTTGACCTGTATTTAAGTTATAGTAATTGACTTTCCTGACTCTGTTCTCCGTGAGTGCTATATTTTGTTTTAGAAAGTGGTTGAAGTTCCAGTATTTTATGTTCTTCTCATTACCTATCTCTATATATTAAATCTCTGGACTTCATATAGAATTGAAACCACTTTTGAAAATCTGTATTGATTGCTGCTTTTTCTATGAGAGGTTTTCTCCCTTTGTCCTGTTGGATTGTTCTTTCTCTTAACCTCTCTAACTCTTTCTCTTCTACACTTTTTTTTTCAATATATTTGAAATTGTTTGCTACTTATTCTTTCCCTCTCAGTGCTAAGATATCTCCATGCTCAAACCAGAGGCTTTAAAATTCAGGTAGTGCAAATTGGGAAGGACAAGCCTGTAAGCTTGTGTCTATTTTCTTCACCTTCCTCCCTTTATAACTAACCACAAGATTATTCTTCATGTTCCACCTTGAATTCTGTGGTTGTTTGTCTTGGTACTGATGCAAATTAGGAGATCAAGGAGAAATGTGTTACTTGTATTACTGCTTCACATTTGAGCCCTTGCCTTAAGAATACAATGCACCAGAAATATGGTCATGTGTATGAAGGCTCCCTATACTCCAAGAATAATTAATTATGGAAGTGGGGAAGTCTGTTAGGTTGAAGCACTTAGAGGCACACAGGGAAACCAAGCAGTTTGGATCAGCATACCGACAACTGAGCACTGCTCCTTTCATGAGGCATTACCAAGAAATTTGTTAAGGAACAGGATAACTTTGTGGAGGCAGTGGAGAACAGCCCACAAGCATGACTGTCAGAATACCAGACACATTCTTACCTGACTGCTGGTAGAGACTGCCACCAAAGAATGCTGGAAGCAGAAATTGGTCTTGACCAGGAAATGACTGAGATGGGAGATAAGGCGCGTTGACAGATTATGAAGGACTTTGAAGGGAAAGACAGAAGGCTTGTGTTTGATGAGGGTATAGTTATATGAAGTCTTTGCTTAGGTGGTAGAGCTAGTTCCAGATCTGAAGCAGTGCTCTTACTGGTTGTAGTAGTTCTGTGGAATGTGGCTGTATGGACAAGCAGTGCTGTTTTTTTCTGTTTGAGTCTATAAGTCTGGTGCTGTGTGACAGCAGAAATGTGGTAAGACTTGAAGTCAGAAGACTTAACTAGCAGTCTTTAGTGGCTCACCTTTATGCTTTTTATTTGATCATGGGGAAGCTCAAGGTCTTTATTTTTTAAATAAATTTAATTTAGTACTAAATTTCATAGTAGTATATTTAGTCCAGTAAATCTGATACTGAACTTTAGCAAAATTTAAGGCAAAGATTATATAGAGAATTGCTCTATAGGAAGCAAACTATGTTATCAGCTAGTTTTGAATCATATCAAGTTAAGGATGAATATGAAATTCTAATTAAGCAGCCAGTTCAGGATGCTCTTATTTTAATAGAGTAATATCAGAAAAAGGAGGATTTTGTTTCTGTGTGCATGCATACAAATTAGTGTATATATATGAGTAAAAAGAAAAATTTTCCATAATATTTTGAATTAAAACAAATTGCTTTGTGCAAATCAGACTGTAATTTAGTGTTTTCCAAAGGTTCAGGAAGGTTTGGCAGAGTCTTTCCTTGGGTTTTGTGCATTTTCTGTCAAGAGCTCTTGTCTGAAGGCTTCTTATGTTTTCTATAAATTGCTCTATGTGAAAAAAAGTGTTTTAGGTAGGAGGTTCTCTTTCAAAGATACTATCCTTTTAAGGGATAAATGTCACAAATGTCTTGGAAAAACAATAAACTTACTCTTTCAATAGAAGAAGTAGTAAAGGGAGGCTAAAAAATGCTTTGCAGCATTTGGTTCAGAGACTTTATCTTTCTCCAGTGATTTCAGATGAGAGGCTGAGAAGGAGATGAGCAGCTTTGCTTAAAGCTGGATAAATAGTCATACTCTTGCATGCTGGGCATGCAAGAGTGACCATGTAATTTACCTATTTTTGTTCCTGCTAACCACTTTAATAGACTTTGAAAGCAAAGCATCTGATGCTTGCGATTGCAATAATTATGCTTATGTAAGAAAAAATTGCCTTTGTGAATTTGTTCAAACACTGCTGCAGGCGTATTTCTTAATACTCTACCTATAGGAGTCCTGCCACTGCCCTTGTGTTGCCTCAGTCTGAATACCTGTCTTGTTTACCTGAATGCCTATTAATATCTTCCTAATTTTGGACAGTTTTCAT